TCATCATGGTGGTTGTGGTTGTGATGATCCTGGTGGTGGTGGTGTAATCATGTTTTCATGGGAACATTTTATAGTCAGCAAAAGTTTGGGTGAGAAGATGCAAGGAGGAGAGGAAAAGAAGAAAGAAAGAGAGCAGGAGAAGGAGAAGGAGAAGGAGAAGGAGAAGGAGAAGAGTTTTGATGGAGAGCAGCAATACAGCAGCGACGCGGAAAGAAATTCACATCGAAAAATCTTTGTTGGAAGGCGTCTTCAATCTGTACACGAAGAACCGACCGGTCGTGAGGGCGAAGGCAATAGACGCTACGACAAGATCAGAGGAAAAGCAATCTAAACAAGAGTATCATACATGCATCAGTACAAGATCAAAGGAAACAAATCTCAACAGAAATATCGTACATGTATCAGTACAGACAGACCTGAACTCAATGCTCTTGCTCTCCGCCAGTTTGATCAGCACGGTGGAGATCAGGTAGCTTGATTGATGATCGCCAATGTCGTAGCTCTTGAACGAAACCCTCAACGTTTTTACTCGCTTGCTGTACCTGAAGCTCTTGATCTGCATCATGAACGTCTGCCGCGGAATCTGCAATCGCATCAGCCTTCTTGTTCTCCTCCTTCTCCTCCTCCTTCTCCTCCTTCTCCTCCTCCTCTTGCCATTCCTTCTCCCGCCCCTCCTCTTCCTACCCCCCTATCTTCGCTTCCCGTGTTTTAAATCCCACTCCCCCTCCTTCCCCTCCCCTTCCTCCTCCTTGCATCGCTCACCTCCTCAGCGACTCTCGCATGATACTCGGCGATCGCCTTCAGCTCCGCCGGCTCCCAGGGGAACGTGAGCGACGCGTACGGCTCTACCCCAGGGCTCTCCCCTCTCCTCATCCTCTCCATAACCCTCGTCCTCAGATCCTTCAGCACGCCCTCCAGCTCCCGCCAGTGGCAGATGTGCATCAGAGCGAAGGCGAGGAGGTAGAGGGCCTCCGCTGACTGAGGTTGGAGCTTCAAGGACTCTCGCAGAATCTCGCTCGCTCTCCTCCACCTCCTGAACGGCGTCATCGCCCCTCCCCAGGACGCGTACGCCTCGAAGTACGTCGGTCGGATCCTGACCGCCTCCTCGAACGCTTCGACGGCTCCCACCGCGTCTCCCAGCTCCTGCTTCACCTTCCCCATGTTGAAGTAGCTCGCCACATACATCGGCTGCATCTTAATGCTCGTCAGGTATGCCGCCAGGGCCTCCTGGAACCTTCCCATGTGGTGGTTGACAACCCCCAGGTTCGACCACGCGTCTGCTCGCGCTGGTTTTAGCCTCACGGCCTCTGCGAAGCTAGCCTTCGACCCCAGGTAGTCCCCCGCCCGCGAGTGCCACACCCCCATCTCGAAGAAGGCGTCTCCTGCAAGCTTCGGATCCAGCCTCGTCACCTCCGCCATGCTCTCCAGAGCTTGATCCAGCCTGCCGCTTCTCTCCATCTCCATGCTGAGCAGGTAACGAGCATCCCCCCAGGACGGGAGGCAAGCTAACGCAGCTTCGTAGAGCCTCATCGCTTCCTCTCCGTTCCCCCTAGCGCTCACAGCCTTGGCATCCTCAAAGTGTCTCCGGGCAAGCGACGCGCGTGTGCTCTTCTTGGTCTTGCCGGTGCATTCGCCGCTCACAGCATGGCAGGAGGTCAACGAGCAACACAAGACGGCGACGCACGTCACCGCATTCAGGAACCGCACAGCACGTCCACCATGCACAGCACGTCCACCATGCATGTCTGCAGTCTGAAGCCATGCCATGTGCAGCGTTCGATTGCAGTTCAAAGGAAACTCAGAGGAAAAGGGTGACTCCTCCCTCCTCCTCCTTCTCATCCTCCTCCTGCTCCTGCTCCTGCTCCTGCTCCTGCTCCTGCTCCTGCTCCTGCTCCTGCTCCTGCTCCTGCTCCTGCTCCTGCTCCATCTTCTCCTCCTCCATCTCCTCCTGCTCCTGCTGCTCCTGATCTTCCTGATCCTCCTCCTCCTCCTCCTCTTCCTTCCTCCTCCTCCTCCCTCCTCCCTCCTCTCATCTCTCCATCAAGCTCCCCGAAAACCGTTGTTTTCCCGTTACAGCCCACTGCAGCTCGGATCTGTCACCCCTAACCTGTCCCAGCCCCGGTGAGCCGCTCTGCCGCACCATCACCGTGCTGCGAGGCTACCGTCGTACCTCCTTGAAGAGCGAGGCAGCTGCACCGGCGAGCTGCTACCGTACTGTCAGTCCGGCAGCCTGCACGGTGCCTGACGTGGGGCGATTGTTTGCTTTATGTGTCACAAATTGTTTTTAATGCTGTACTCTTGCTCTCACACCGACGCTGCTCTCAGAATCCTCCGATCATCGTCAGACAGCTCCACAGCTCAGAAGCTCCTACACTACATCTAAGCCTCACCATCTCTACTTCTTCCTCCCGCCTCCTCCTGCTCCTCCTCCTTCGGTCCCGTTACGAAAGCCCCAATCCTCTCCGCGCACATCAGCCACCCTTCCCCATCGTGCGTCTCCCCCCTCCTCCTCCCCGCCCCCCTCTCCCTCCTCCCCTCCTCCCCGCCCCCCTCCCGACGGCTGCCCCCCCGGCCGTCGGGGGGGGCCTCCAGGAGCGTGCGGGGAGGCGTCGGAGAGAGGCAAGGGCTGGAGGTGACGGGTGACATGGGCCCAGGTGCGCTGGGTCCAGATGTCTCGGAGGGCATTGGGGGTGATGCCGTACTTGCGGGAGAGCGCGACGCTGAGAGGGGTGGGGGTCCAGGGGAGGGAGGGAGGATGGTTGAGGAGGTAGAGGAAGATCTCGCAGGCGAGCGGGGGGTTGATGCGAGCACGAGGGCGGGGGGAGGAGGAGGAGGAGGAGGAGGAGGAGGAGGAGGAGGAGGGAGGCATGGTGGATAGGGGCTGTGCAGGGTGAGGAAGGGAGATAGGGGGTCAGGGAAGTTTGCTTGGAACCTTGGGGGCTTGTTAAGCCAGCCATCGAGTTTTGCCTGCTGACTTCTCCTCATCTTGACACTGTAGTAAAGTTCACAGATGCCACCCGAGCAGACGAGAAGTCGCGAGATATCGTCGAGATATCATCGAGATAACTCCTACCAGACCATGATGACTACAATAGACTTCGGAGTTCCGGCGCTGCTTTTCGTTACATCCCGTTACGAGTCGGCAAATCAAAACCTTCAAAGCTCGAGACTCTCTGACGGAACGCTTGCCAAGAGTTTCTGCCGACCTTCATACGATCCGACGTTATGCTGCGAGTGTCTCCCGGCCATTGCTTGCGCTTCTATTCTCTCAGCTCAGACCCTTACGTTGTCACTCCAAGACCCCCCGCAAGCTCTGTGGCTGACGTGCACGGAGAGCATCGGGAGGTATGTGCAGAGAGTGAGGAGGAGGAGGAGGAGGAGGAGGAGGAGGAGCGAGTGGCGGAGGCTGAAATGGGGGGGGTGGACGGAGGAGCTTGCAAGTATTGAGACAAGGGATGGGGACAGGGAGGGCTGGGAGGGCTCGGGTTGGGAGCTATCTTTTAGACAGACATAGTCAGGTATCGTCTATTTTTCAATCTCATTCTAGCGTGCTTTGTAAAGTTTACTGCCTGTTTCTATGTTGGTCGTTCCATTATATTCTCGCATCGATTTCTGGAACTATAAGGTACCTACCCAACCATCAACATCGTTGTCCTGTGCACAATATGATCTGTACGGTGTGATTGCAGTAGTTCCATCTACAATGAAGATGTACAATTAGAACGTTTACTTTTACCATGAAGAAAGCACGATCGTGCCTTGTTATGATGCGTTGGCTGGATTATGGAGAAACATACTCTAATAATCATAATGATACTCTGATCAGAAAACAGGTTGAGTAGTTATTCTGAATGCGCACACTCCCTCAGCAAAGATCATTGTGAATGAACATGGAGTAGAAGCTCTTGCTGCAACTTTCTGGAAAGAGATTTGACAAGTATTTTGCATGCTCGGAGGCTATGCCAGAGAATCAACGTCTCTCCCATTGCAAGCAAACCAGACATTGATGCGCAGTTGCCCATGACAGCTGGAGGTCAGGATCCGCAACCCGTGGAAGATCCCCTCCCATAGTTCTCCCACACATTCCCTCCATGCACACAAGATGTATGTGACGAAGACGTAGACAAAGCTGTCTCATCTACACGACTTTGTCTGCTGTCATGCAATGGTGAGAAAACATCCGTTCGATCTCTCCAAGTCTCGTGTTGAGTCCTGTCCCGTTACGAAAGCCCCGATCCTCTCCGCGCACATCAGCCACCCTTCCCCATCGTGCGTCTCCCCCCTCCTCCTCCCCGCCCCCCTCTCCCTCCTCCCCTCCTCCCCGCCCCCCTCCCGCCGGCTGCCCCCCCGGCCGTCGGGGGGTCCTCCAGGAGCGTGCGGGGAGGCGTCGGAGAGAGGCAAGGGCTGGAGGTGACGGGTGGCATGGGCCCAGGTGCGCTGGGTCCAGATGTCTCGGACGGCCTTGGGGGTGATGCCGTACTTGCGGGAGAGCGCGACGCTGAGAGGGGTGGGGGTCCAGGGGAGGGAGGGAGGATGGTTGAGGAGGTAGAGGAAGATCTCGCAGGCGAGGGGGGGGTCGATGCGAGCACGAGGGCGGGGAGAGGAGGAGGAGGAGGAGGAGGAGGAGGAGGAGGAGGAGGGAGACATACAGTTCATCAGCTGATGAGATGGGCAGCAGCAAGTGGTTTGGTAGAGGAGTGCGAGGGCTCAAGGTAGAGGCGTGCAAAAGAGGATGTACAAGTCTTGGCTCGATTCGTTCTGCTCCTGTTGCTCTCCGCTTGTCCGAGGAGATTCTAAGTTTTTTTCCATGAAAAATTCCCACGGTCAGCAGTCATGTTTACTTTACATGACTGCTGATCACGGAGGCCATCGCCCGGTTCTCAAAAGGAGACCTTTCAGGTTGAGCGACTCTCTACTCTCAAGAAGTCAAAACTTGAGTCCTTACAGCCTCGGACATCGCCG